TTGATTGCCCAAAAAAGTATTTTTAACAAAGTCTAATTTTTGACTGGCAAAGTGGCAGCAGGTGAACCCCTTAATTGCCTGAACAATTTTATAGTTTTCAATCACGTTGTTGAGGTTTGGCTGTGGGAAAGTGAATTGGTTCTATGGATAAAAGGGTTTCTTCGAATTTGAGTGACCGTAAAAAGACAAATAAATACAAAGAAAATGCAACAAATTTACAGCTCAGCCATGCCCAATTTTTTTACACCAACACCAACCCAATACCCAAGAAAACTTTTAACTTTAAACCAAATATAGATAATTGAAAAAAAAAACGAATGTAGAATATAACTAAAATTACAATCAAAAGCACAATGATAGTGTTTGTGCTTAAATAAAATAAATCATTTTCTTAACAGTCCCTTAAAGTCCCTTAACCATAATTTAAAATAGTTTAGCAGTTTAAATTTCTCTCTAAGCTATGTAGCTAAACCCTCAAAAGAAAAACCCAGAATGACATCTAAAATGCTCTCCTGATGTTTGGTTTCCCAGGGAAGAAAAGCATGAAAAACAGAGAAGACTAACCATAAGAAATGTGCAAGATAAAAGCGCCACAAATCAAAAGCCAAGTCAACCTGCGCACTTGAGTTGATAGAAAAGTTTAGGTACTCCCAACAAAATTCGAACTTTTTCTAGTCGGTAGGGTCTCACTCTAATTTTCTGTTTCTTTTAGGCGCCCTTTCTGTTTCTGTTTGGGTAACCTTCTGATTTAAGCTGCCCGCAAAAAGAGCCTCTCAGGTGTTTTGGTAGCTCCCGAAGAGCAATTTGAGAGCTGCCAGCTGAAAACGCTATTTATTAAGTCCACAGGATGTAAGCGCAGACACACACACAGAGACAAGGTGGAAACTGCGTAAATCTTTTCCACTCTATGCGTCGCTCGCTCTTTCACACTCTCTGTCTCTCTCTCTCGCTCTTTCTATCTTTTTCTTTAAGCCAGAGTCAGTGTCAACAAACTGCAAAAGACACAGAGCTTAAAAGGGCAAGCGGAAAGTTGGGAGATAAGAACTTGGGCCAAGAGCAGCAGCGGACAAGAGCATAGAAAAAACTGCAGGGGATAGAGAGAGAGAGAGAGAGAAGCAGTATGGGTGTGTGTGTTTGTATGTGTGTACCAATCTTTTGACAGTCAAAAAGGTCTGCCGTTTAGAAAAGTGTCAAGCATTTTATCACACGGAACGAAAACTGGCCAAAAACAACGACAACCAAAAACAACACTCCGAAATATGGCCACAATAAATATTTAATAAGTTTGCAGAGTCTTCCCGTTACCCCAGAAGAACCCTGTTTACCCTCTTTAAAATTCTGCCTCGAAAATCGACCTCTAAAGTTCTTTGCCTTTCTCTTCATTTTCTAATGCATTGCATCACTAAGTAGGTGCCTAACAATAGAAAAAAGACACCTGACAGTCGACGAAACTACTCCTCTCTCTCTCCGACAAAAACATAAACTTGTCAACGTTTTGACTGCAGCTGCAGCTCTCCAGAAAATTCTACAGCGGCATCAGCTTACAGGCTGGCAGCAAACTGGAAAATTACAGTCTCTCTCTCTCTCTCTCTCTCTATCTCACTCTGTGTGTGGCAGTTGCAAGCTTTTGTGAGGCTTTTGCAAAAACCGATTTGACTGACAGCTAAACCAGCTCTTCTTCTCGCGTGCACAGAAACGTTATAAAAAGCACCTCAAAAGTCAAGAAGCGCGCTGTCGTCCAGTTTTTCCACGGGAATACGTGGCAAAGATTAACCCTTTTGCCCTTTATCAACAAGCGCAATACGTTTTGGTCATCTATTTTTCCCTGTTGAGTTGACGTAGAAATTGATTTTCCGTTTTTGTTTCAGTGTTCTCAGGGATAAAGCAGTTTTTGAAATTGATTGCAGTTTCTGTTTTAAGTTTATATTTTACCAGTCGACTTCTGTCGTTTTTATCAACAGTAAAGCGAGTTTTACTCTAGTGTGTGGACAAGAAACCTTTAAGCTACAATTAACTAGGCTATTCTCGTTCCATCCTTTAGAAACAAAATATATATGTATATATATATATATATATGTACACCTAAATACCTAAAACTTCAATATTTCTTAAAAGAAATCCTTAATTACTTTTTATACCCGGTACTCGAAGAGTAAATAGGGTATATTATATTTGTGCACAAAGTGAATGTAGGTAACGCACAGAAGGAAAAGTATATACATATATTTTAAAAGAGCTAAAAGAGCTAAAAAGAACGAAAATTCAGTTAAATTGGAGGACAAATGTATATATTTGTAGCACTATATTTGTAGTATGTATTTGTAGCTCATACCCGGTACTCGTAGAGTAAATAGAGTACTGGTTATAGAAGTTGTTATGTGTGTTGTGTTTAAGGATACAATTCTCTTTGCACATTACTACCCCGCAGTATTTCAACTACCGCTTAAAGTTCATAGATATATCTATATTAATCCGAATTCATCATTTGACTTCATTAAGAAAAGCATTCCCAAATTAGAAGGAAAGGTAAGCCGCACATCTATTTTGGTCACCAAATAGGAAAACATTAAACAAATAAACCCTCAATATAAACAATTTGAATGTTCCAAATGTCAGACATACACCAGACAGACCCCAACTAGACCCCAAGTTAAAGTTTTCTGAACACATTTCTACCATGGTAAATAAAGCCATGGGTGTGCTTGGGTTTATAAAGAGGTGGTCAAAGGAATTTGAGGACCCCTATATAACGAAGACTCTCTATATCTCGCTTGTTCGTCCGATTTTAGAATACGGCTCATGTGTATGGTGCCCTCAGTACAACATACATCAGGACCGTATTGAATCAGTACAGAAAAACTTTTTATTATTTGCCNTCTGCGGTAGTTCTCTTGAGAGAATTACATTGGTTGATGATCTAGGTGTTAAACTAGACCCCAAGTTAAAGTTTTCTGAACACATTTCTACCATGGTAAATAAAGCCATGGGTGTGCTTGGGTTTATAAAGAGGTGGTCAAAGGAATTTGAGGACCCCTATATAACGAAGACTCTCTATATCTCGCTTGTTCGTCCGATTTTAGAATACGGCTCATGTGTATGGTGCCCTCAGTACAACATACATCAGGACCGTATTGAATCAGTACAGAACAACTTTTTATTATTTGCCCTACGGGGCCTCAACTGGGATGCAACTGTGAGACTGCCATCCTACCGTAGTAGACTTCTTTTAATAAATCTTCCATCCTTAGTTAGTCGTAGAAAAATGCTTGGTGTAATTTTTATGCACAACTTGATCAAGGGGGATGTAGACAGCCCTGACTTGCTGAGCCGCATAAACTTTACGATTCCCATTAGACCCACTAGAAACTTTATTCCTTTGTTCCTTCCACTATGTAGATCGAATTATGCCTCACACGAACCCTTTAGGGTTTATGCTCGGATTATAATTCCCTCTACCACATTATATCCTCAACTAACTCCCTTCCTCTTCTTAAATCTCTTATACTAGCCTACCTCTCCCGTAGTTAGTTTCATTTTAGTTTTATCTTGTTTTTGATTTTGGTAATTGTTGCTTGCTTAGCTATACTTTCCCTAGTTTAGTTATGTTTAGCTCTAATTTTCCTCGAATATTAGCCTAACATCTATCTTTCCTGGTATATTGTATTTGTACGAATAACGGTATGTGGAAGGAAACGTTTCCGACCCCACAAAGTATATATATTCTTGATCAGCATCAATAGCCGAGTCGATAGAGCCATGTCTATCAGTCCGTCTGTCCGACTTGTTTGTCGGCTAGTTCTCAGAGACTCTAAGAGATGGACCGACCAAATTTTACATCCAGACTGCTGTATGCTCACACTGAAACCAGTGTATTTCAAAAATTAGCCCCGCCCCCTTCCGCCTCCGCAAAAGGGCGGAGATAAAGATTTTGCAGATAAAAGTAAACTAAAAACTCCATTCCGTAGGGAATGACCATATCTATCAGATCAACAATTGGGATCCGATTGGATCATTATTATAGCCAGAATGAAGAAATTCATTTGCAGTGGCTAAACTCACCCTGTCCCGCAGCTTTTGCTGTTCTCTGCTTCTGCTTCACTCGGCCTCTGCCTCTGCCGTCCTCCTGCCTCTACCTCTGCCCATTTCTAACACACCCCGTCCCACAGCTTATATTTGTTTTTTTTTTTTGTGTGCGGGCGCTGCCTCTGCCTCTGCCGCGAGTCTGCAGTGTGTGGGTCTGGGGAAGGGGAGCGAGCTAAAGGAGCGTGTTGGTGTGAGTAGTGTTGTAGATGTATATGACAGATGAAAAAAAAATGTTAAATTTGACAAAACACCGCTAAGGTGCAGAAGTAGTACTGAGTGCCGGGTATAAAAGTTGTGATGCGTAAGAAGCGCCTCACACGTCCCTTCTCGTTTTTTATAAAATACTATAAATTAATTCGCAAATATACATATATTAGTATTCGTATTAGTAGATTTGGGATTAGAGATGGTGCCAATGCACTTGAACAAAAGTCGACGATTATGTGAGTTCCTCAGCCCGAAAAACCCCAACTATCTTTCCGCCTGTAAACCTGTTCGGTTGCCTCCATAAAACCTTATATCCTGTTCCTGCTGTTAAAATTCCAAAAGCATTTGCTTTTGTGCTAATGGAACAGTTTAGAGGCAGCCGGGCAGCAGACGAACCGACCCCTTCTAGAAGCAAGGTGGAGGCCCTGCCATCGAGGCTTGGAGCAGAATGCGGGAATAAAATCATAAATGCCAGGACACGTGCCACGACAACAACGTGCCTCGGAACATGCAACGAGGTGTTAATGTTTTTTTTTTCTTAATTTTTTGTTTGGCAAACTCTTGGACTGCAATATCTGCTCGCGAGTGGCAGTGGCACTGTTCGCATTCTGAGTGCAAGTTAGTTAAATATTTAAACTTATTTATTGGACTTTCGACGCCAGAGAGGAGCCAGAGAGATTGCCATTTAAAATAATCAAAAAATAACTTACCGTGTGCATCTTTCCCTGTAGATCCGCCAGCGTTGGATCCTCCTCCAGAGCCAGGACCTAGTATACCACTGGACATGCCACCGACTCCTCCTTCTCCTCCTCCTCCGCCGGTTGTGGAATGCAGGCGCGCTAATGTGACTGGCATTAGCGGCAGGGCCATTCCACAGAGCAGGGCCATAAAAATTTTCCACATTGTTAACGTGACCATTTGACTTTTATTGCACTTCATTTTCCACGGTTTTGCCCTGCTTCTTTTTTCTGCTGCTCCTCCTCTTTCTTTTCTTCTCCTTGATTTTCTCTCTATATATATTTCTATAATTCTTCTTTACTTTTGCTTTAGGAGGGGTTCCTCCGTTCCGACGCTTGTTGATTTTAATTTGATGTGAACTTAAGTTGGATTTGGCTTGCAGATTTTCCCGCTGCCCTTTTGCTTCCTCCCTTCGCTCTAATAGAAGACAATTTTCGATTTTATTCTCGGGCAGCTGCTGCAACGAGATAGAGCGAGAGAGAGAGAGAGAGAAATGTAGTAGGGGTTGAGTGTGTGAAAATCCATTGGCTTTGAGTATAAAAAAGTTGTTTGTAGTTTCGGAGGCTAGTTAAAAAGTTCAACAACTTTCTTTCTTTTGCGCATTTTCATTTTCTTTTTGTCGATGTTCTCGTTTTCTTTTTGATTTTTATACCCGGTGCCAGAAGAGTAAATAGGGTGCACAAAGTATGTAACACACAGAAGGAAACGTTTCCGACTCCATAAAGTATATACATGTATTCTTGATCAGCATCAATAACCGAGTCGATTGAGCCATGTCTGTCTGTCCGTCCTGGTGCTCAAAGACTATAAGAGCTAGAGCCACCAAATGTTGCATCTAGACTTCTGTATGCTCACACTGTTACAAGTGTATTTAAAAAATTAGCCCTGCCCCCTTTCAACCCCCCAAAAGGACGAAAACCTCCCAAATCTACAATTTTGAGTATAAAAGAATGACCATAGCTATCAGATCACCAAATTGGGATCCGATTGGATCATTATTTTAGCCAGAATGAGAAAATGAATTTGCAGTGGCTAGGTGCCGGTGCTGAGTGCCGGGTATAAAAGTTGTGACGCGTAAGAAGCGTCTCACACGTCCCTTCTCGTTTTTCCTGTGTTAAAGTCAATTTGAAGCCGCAATTATCGACTAGTAAGGCGACAAGCCCCTTAAGACCGCATGCACACACACTCCTAGCACACATATACTCTCTCCAACACGCAGCTGTTCTCTGAGCTGGTCTCACGAGTGTTTGGAGGGACGTTGAATTTTGTGTGAAAAAGTTTCTTCAAAAAGAAACGAAAAGAAAAAAAGATGAGCACAAGTTTTGTCACCTTGTTAGGAAAAGTAGGAATATGGGCCACAATGAATCGCGGAGGTAGGAAACGGAGCTATCCAAGGCGATTGAACAAGGCATTACGAATTAGACATAAGGCCAACAACTTAAAAGGTATAATTAATTCAGAGGTGAGAACTTGTGGAAGAACGAAACATGGTCGGTGGCAGAATAACGATTTATGGATGGATAGCAGTGCTGGTGGGAGAATTTTCCATACAGAGCAATAGGGTTGAAATATGGAAGTACCCGATTTCTCGGCTTCTGATCACTGATACTGCCTGCGTTAGGCTATGTAAACCCATCTGCGCCTAAAAAGGCCTGTCTCCAGCACCGCTAAAAATTCCTGGCATTCATTTGACATATATTGCGTTTGTGCATGGAGTGTGCGTAACTAAACAGGCTGACTAAATTTCAACCGAAATTATAAAAGGAAACGAGGAGGGACATTTGAGGCGTCACAACTTTTGCTGTATGCTCACACTGCACTATGGGGCACTTGACCACTTTTCCTGGGCAAAACTTATTTGTGAAAAGTAAAACAAGTAATATTTTTTTAACAGATATACATAGGAATAACATCAGTCCGTAATGTTACGTACGCAAAAAATTAACAGTGCGCACCCCTGTTAAGATAACAGCTGTTAAAGTCAGCTGTTTGCTGCGAACGATAGAAATTTATCGGAAAACTGATTTTTTTCATGAAGTTTAAAGTGCAAAAATTGCTAAATTTACCAATTTAAGTTAATTTTTTTACAATATTCTCGATTCAGGCAGGTATTAAAAAGGTTTTTGTGAGTTTGAAGTTAAAAAATTGACCTCATAATATGTTTAATGGCTAGTTCCTTAACAAGTCCATATTTGCGACGAAAATTTGTTTTTGAATAGCCTTAAAAAGTGTTCGGTTCCCGCCTGAAGCATTAAACTGCATAGATATTGAAGAGTATTCAATTCTTAATCTAATTTATGTTATTTTTCTTGCGCTTTTCTGCGTCTTCGCACATATTTGAGTTTTCCTAACATAACCTAAAGTTTGGATTTTCAGAGTTAAACTGAGTGAAGAAGAAATTTGCAGAAGAAGATGCCGATTCGCATTGAATTTAAGTGTTAATACCTGTCACTAGCTTTGAGAACCATAAGGGTTATTTTTAGACCCTTTGAAGAAAACTTGAAAAAAATCGAAAAAAACTGTGCAGATTGGCTAAATTCGTGCCCAATTGTACAATTATAATAATGTTGAGACATTTCTAGTATCTCTGCTCTGCTGTACAGTGCTATTGTGTCCCAAATTCAACAACTCAAAGAAAAGAAGCTGATTGCAGTATACAAGGAAGTCAATGTAAAAATCCGATTTTCTTCTACTTTTCCATTTTTAAAAATTCGGGCACAACTTTTTAAGTAAAATATGGCATTGCTTTACACATTCCCATCATTTTTTTGTTTGTTATAAGCGGTACTCGAAGAGTAAATAGGGTATATTGTATTTGTGGGGAAAAACGGTTGTATGTAACGCACAGAAGGAAACGTTTCCGACCCCATAAAGTATATATATTCTTGGTCAGCATCAATAGCCGAGTCGATTGAGCCATGTCTGTCTGTCCGTCCGTCCGTCCGTCTTGTTTGTCGGCTAGTTCTCAGAGACTATAAGAGCTAGGACCACCAAATTTTGGCTCCGGACTGCTGTATGCTCACACTGAAACCAATGTATTTAAAATACAATAGGCGGCGTTCTTTATTCACCTTTTGTTTCCCCCTACTCCTTTTTTCTTTGTCCCACATCCTCCTCCGTTTCCTTTGCTCCTTCGATTTCCTTCTTTCTTATTATCTATCTCCCATTGTCATTTTGTCAACGTGTCCTTTGAGTGTCATCAAATTTTTTCATTGGGACCTTGACAAGAGGAGACCCAAAGCATTTCGTGCCCTTGATAATGGTGAGAATATAAGACAGAGGCAATAAGAGACAAAAATATGCCCATAAGATAAGCAAGAGGGTGGGGTAGGTGGAGCGGCAAAAAGTGACAATGTGAGAAGCAATAACAATAATAATAATACATAAAGATATAAAAAACCATCCACCATTCCCCATCCCCTAAAGGATGATAAAACTAATGAGGCGACTGGACAATTATTACAAAATTTGTTTTCACTCCAAGAAAAATTATGGAACGAGGAGAGAAGCGTTAAATGTACTAAAAATTGGAAGAGCAAAATCAGTGGAAATATAGTATAATTTTTTAGAGCGGAAAGTAAACACCATGGTGGGGCCTTAACTTGAACTACGAGCACACTTGAGCAATTTGCGCACAGTTGAGTGCGCACATTAACCCCCACACACAAATAAATACACAAACACACACACCCACACATTGCAACATACACGAACCGAAAAACAAATAACAAAAGAGGCAAGGGCAAAATCACCATGGCGTACAGAGAGCGGAAACGGAAACGTCAGCCAGGCCGAGAAGCAACAGAATCAACCGACCAATAGACAAACATCGAGAGGAGCTCTGCCATAGCTAGGGAACATGGAATAGCTGGACAACCAAAGTAAAATTAAATAAAACAAAGCAAAAACATTGAGAGGAAAATATAACTAAATGAATAAGAGGAAATAGGAACACGGGATGCTCTCTTTTTAAATGAAAATTATTTGGAAATATTCCAGTATTATCATAAATATTTATTTCGAATGGTTTTCACTTTGGGCATTCCTTTAGCAACAATAATGAAACAAATCATTTCCCTGCCACAATTAGAGAGCATTAAATACACCTAAAATTGGACTTGGAAGCAGAAATAAAACGAAACATTTGATAGACACATTTTATTGCATGCAGTGGCTCTGTCGCTGTCGCTGTCGCTCTCTCAGTTGCTATTCAGTGGCCACTTCACAGACTGGCAGAGAGTGGAATGGAGTGAAGGACTGGCGCAAGGTTCCACTCTGCTACAAAAACCCACCACCAAACCCCCCTTGGCAAAGCAATCTAGACAATAGTTGTGGCATTCCTCACTCGCTCCTGCAACAACTGCTGGGGCTTGCCCTGCCTGTCAATGGCTGCCTAGACGTTTCCTGACCCTCAATTGCCCCACCGCTTGGTCTTTCTCGTTGTCCATTCGGCTCTCACTCTTTGTGTCTGTGTCTAGGGCTCTCGAACTAGTGGTTGTTGTTTCCTTTCCGTTGGTTTATCGCTCCCCCAAGTCTCATTCTTTTCTATTCGGTCTACATAAGTTTTTGTCATGTGAAAAAAAATGAGAAAGCGGCAACAGAAAAATCTCTTAGTCCAAGTGGCTAGTCCATCATGCAATCTGGTACTTCATTCAGTCATTCACTTCCCCTGGTACTCCTACTTTCCACTGAAGTTTCCATCCAGTTTTTTTTTCTGATTCTTATGGTTTTTTTGGTTGTTTTTTCTGTGGTTATTGAAGCATTTATTCCGAACATGCACCAACAGAGCGTTTTTGCTTTTGTTCAATATGCGAGAAAATGTAAGGAAAATTACTGTTCATAATATGACATTAATGGTGTCGCGAAAAATCCCCAATATATCGACAATCTCCCGCCCTCTTCCTCTGCGATATCTGATTTTTAGTGCCGTTGAGATTTATGTTTTCCGATATGTATGAGAGGGAAAACAGTGGACAATTTTTCTCACTGTTTGACAGATGGGTCAACACTTAAGCCGCTGGGCTTTATGACCAACAATTTATGGATCCTGCAACACTCTGCGCGCATATTTCTGCGAGTATTTTGTATCTCATGTATAATCGTATTTATTTATATTTATTGCTTATATGTAGCACTTAGCGGTTAAGAAATTGATTTCGATGATTAGCTTTGATGGAAGATCTCTCCATGGTAGACCCTCCAAATATTATAGGACACTAATGCTCATAGATTATGGCCACCAGTAAAAGCGGTGGCTTATGTCACTGGAAAAAAACGGCGAAAATCACTAAATTTGGCAATTTCACTTAAAATTACCCAAAACTGATGTCACATTTATTGATTAGAAAATAAATTACAAAATTGAACCAAACTTTTGGTAATTAGAATTAGAGCTAAACAAAACACCCACAACTATAGAAACAATAGAAGTTATGGGAATATAAACCATTTAATGGG